CACCGGAGAATTATTAGGTGTGTGTTTAGTTGTCATTCGGAATGATAGCGTGCAGTACAATATGTTGTGATCACTGTTATCAAGTTTATTTCCTACCTCTATCGAGATGGGCTCAATTTCATGACAAAGGATTAAGTCAAGAGTGTTTTCATTTCTTGTAGGGAGGCGTACGCACTGCTTCCATCCGCCTACGTCTATAGCTTGTAGTAGCTCGTCATGGATTCTAGGTTCTGTACAGGTATCCCAGTTTACTCCAGGTAAGCTGAAATCGCCGCGGATTACTTTGTAGTCTAAGTCCAGCGTAGCTGCATGCTCTAGTATTTCTCCAATAGCTATATCAGTCATTTCAGGGCTATTAGGGGGTCTGTATGTACATCCCACGAGAATTTTATTTTCGTTTGTGTGGATGCTTATCCACTTAGATTCAGGGAGTTTGTCAGTAGTTGGGTTATTGAAAGTATTGGAGTTAATGGATTTAGAAGCATATATTAAGCAGCCGCCTCCTCTTTTGTCAACTCTATCGTTCCTATAGATGTCGTAGTTGTCTATTACTAGCTTTGAGTCAGGTATATCAGTAGTAAGCCAGGTTTCAGTCACCATTATTAGTGTTGGCCGTTCTATGTATGCCAGGCAGCGAAGCAATGTTATTTTGTTAAGAAGAGATCTAGCATTCAGGAGCATAATCGTTAGTAAACCAGAGTTACTGGGGGAGAGGTTAACATGGTTACTTGTTGCTATTCCTACGTTATGTTTGGAGGGGCTCTGAGGTGAGACAGAGTCAGTGTGTGTACTATTTCCTGGATGAATTGTGCAGCGAGTGGGGCTATTGTTTGCTGCATCCGAAAATAATCCTGTTGAATGTTTTGACTTTTAGCATCCATAGGTGGGCATCTGCGTTCATTTACTGGTGATATATAGTTTGCTTGACCCAGATACCCTGTGTTAAGATTACCTTGGTAGTTGTACCTCATGGGTCTTTCATAGTCGTATGCATTTGGCTCACACCACATGTGTGAGTGAAGTTATTGAGAGGGTCATGTGTCGATCTATACTCATTATGTTGCTGGGGTTCAACATAGATAGTGTGAGAGTTTGGACAAGAATATGCATTAATATGGTGTCTATACGAGCCCCGTTTAGTGCTCCTTATATCCTGATGATCCGTTCTACGTTGCATTCCCAAGTTATGTGCGTTGCTAGGCATATTACTCCTAGTTCGGGAAGGGGTGTTCTCATTCACATGATGGATGACTTCTTTGGGAATATTGTTTTTCACCCATGCATTGTCATTTTTTAGACTGACATGTTGCTTATTAGACTTATTGAGAGGGAGGTATGTCGAAGTCTGGAGTGGGATTCTAGGCTTTGTCGTCTTTCTTGCAGTTTCTACTGCGGGACTCTCGGGCTTGCATGCAGATTGAGTGTGGTCTGCCAGTGGTTTCTGGTCAGACATAGTTTGTGAGTCAATATCAACCTCATGTATGTCAGCAGGTTTTCCAGATGTGCTCTCATGTACTTTA